GAAAATATGTAAAAATACTTTTTCTTTTTTCTCAATTTTCAATTGAAATTTATTTCATGCACTTGTTGATAAATTATTTAATGATTGAACTTTACCAGAAGAAGATATTGCTAAATTTATCGATTTCTGGACTCTTGGAAATATATAGAGAATTTTCTTTTTCAGAATAAAAAAATTTCATGTTGTTTGATTCCAAAAGATTTATCATAACACTGTCATGTTTATATTTTTACTATTCCAAGAGAACACATATTATCATAATATACTATTTGAAAGCTAGTCACGCGCACTCACATTTTATATAAAAACATTTCATTAAAGATCGTTTTTTGTATACATAAAAGTTGATTTTTAACAAGCCTTAAAATTTATGAAATACCCTGTATGTCTGTGTAGATATGAATCTTTTCACCGTCCACATTCACATAAAAACTCATTACCATACCTAACTCACATCAACCTGCTCCACATTCATTCACAGTCCATATCCGCTTACGCCAACACTGTCCTGTGAGGACATGAGTGAAAGTGAACTCATAAAAATGAATGATGTTTCATTTTTTTTTGATCAAGATCAATTAAAGAAAATGGGTCAGAGTAAGGTTTCATTAGTGGACAATTTTATGCTTTATACATCGATACTATCTTTGAATATAACAACAATCACAGTAGGTCAGAACGCATATTATTGAAACCTTTTTATTTCAATTCACTTAAGACTTGTTTTCTACATCTGTATTGACAATGTAAGTAGATCAGTACTAAATAAGATTAAAATGTCTTGAAAAAGAAATATTCTTTTTGCTTTTAAAATCTAATTGATATCACTCACATGATTTCTCTAATTACTCAAACCCATTATTATGTTGGACAAAAAAAAGCACTAAGGAAAAATAAAAATAAAATTTATTCAATATAAGTTTTATTTGTTTCTTTCAATTCTACTTGTTTCTTCGATGACAATAATGGATTTATTTTGTTGGTGTGTTTTTCTGTGATCTAAATATTCTTGAGACGAACTATCGAAAATCTTTGAAAAGTAAACATAATATCAATCCTTGACAATGGATGATCAACAAGTGCATGAAATAAATTTCAATTGAAAATTGAGAAAAAAGAAAAAGTATTTTTACATATTTTCTACATTGACAAAGTATATATGAAGGTTTAGCTTGTTTATTCGTTATTTTATTTGATCTATCCTGAAGAAAAAAATGAAATATGTATCATCTTTATGTAGCATACTAGTTTCTATTTCTTAAATCGATCGAAGTAACATGCAATGTAGAGTGCGAGTCATAAAAAGCATGTACATTTTTATTTTGTACATATATACAAATTGCTAATAAAGAAAGGTTATTTATATTTAGTAATTATATCACCATGATGTTTGACACTTAATCTTTATTTCAGTGAGTTCAGTGAAATGAATTTACCTTCACATTATTCCCTAGACTGTAAGGATAGGGTCTAGAAACGGGAATTCATCTGACTGCATGTATCGTTTTTGTCTGTAATATGGCACAAATGATCATTTTTTTGGCACAAACGGCTATTTTTTTTGTACAAGTGACCACGTAACTATGGCACAAATGACCAGGTAACTATAGACAAAAAAGACGATAATGTCACTATGGCACAAACGACTATTTTTTTGGTACAAACGACCACGTAACTATGGCACAGATGACCATATAGGAATCATGGTACAAACAACTATCCCGGTAACTATGGCATACATGACCATCTAAAGACTGATGTAAATAAACCCATAATAATCATGGGTAATATGTCAATGAAATAACTATAATTCGGGTAGTGGTGTAAAGTGGCTTACAAAAGCATTTAAATAGTGAGAGTCAAACCAAATGAGCAGTATGAATTTAAAGAAATTGTTTAAATTATTCATTATTGTAGGATTGATTGTGCAATCTTGTATCAATGAATATATAATTTATCATAATAGTTTAGAATTAATGCGCGAATTTAAGGATAAAATATTGATTAATAAAACTCAAATTTTATGAATAATATAAATCATACTTTTGTACGTACAAATAGCGCCAATATAGTTATAAAAAAAATCGTATTGTTGTCTAATCTTATTGGGCGCTATTTATATTTATAAAGGCAAAAAAGGAATAAAATAAAAACGATAAAAATAATTAAATTTGTAAATGCATCATCTTTTATTAGAGAGAGAAGTCTCCAAATTAAGTTTTCTGGTCGCCTAAGATATACTGGCCATATTATCAATTTTTGCATGTTACTTTTTCAATATAGCTTTTTATGCTATTACATTCGTACATGTATCCTATCAGTCTAGGGCTAAGTGAATCGATTGACGATGAACGTTACTTGTTTAGTAAAGTAAAATAAAGTGAAGTAAGATAAAGTGTCATAAAGTAAGACAAAGTAAAATATACTGTTTATGGTTATTGCTTTAGCAGTTTATTACCAGACATTTATCGAATTCGAATACATGAAAAGCTGCGTCGAATTACAAGTCGATAATCCCAAAGTATTTGAACCTAATTTTAATACCTTGAAATTGCCATTAAGATCTGACTATTTATCATAATTTCATTTTGGGTGTGAACGCAAAAGTTTGATTGAACACCCGTACCAATAATCTAACACAGACTTACTCCAATCATACCCACATCCACATCCTTCGTCGGCATTAGTGCTATGTTTACTAAATTTAATTCTAAATTTGCTATTTATTTATGTGTATTTACCATTAATTATGAAACAAAGAAAAAGCAAAAATAAATACAAATAATTGTATTTAGTTATTAGTGGAATTTGTTGATAAAAGTTGTATGACTAAGGAACAGATAACTGAAAATGGTCCTAATTATTATCATGACGAGAAGTTTGATAATCTTCAAGTTCAGGAGATTGGGATTCACCGAGAACCAAGTTACTAACAAAAGTAACTACTTTACCGATTCTTTTTTTAATCCTATTCGATGAAGTTTTTCGTTCTGTTTCATAAGTGATGGTAACCGGTGGTGACATTTGAGCAATTAATGCACTATTTTGTTTGGTAGTATTCTCGAGTTGTTGAGCTAATTGTGTTATGTTATCGTTATTTACATCATGTATTAGTTTTTCAACATGCGCTACGTATTGCTCATGTTTAGTTTGGTTATCTTCCATCGTTTTATGAAATCGTCTGTTATGATCAATTGATTCATGTATTGGCTCATTCGTGTCTGAAATTGAATGGTGTTGTTGTAATCGATGACATGTTTGAATTGGATTTGAAGTTGAATTGAGTTGTTGCCTTTTTGAATATTCATATTCTTGTGCTAATAATTGATCTTGTCGTTGTCTATATTCCATTTTTAATCGAGAAATTTCATCAGCTATTAATTCAATATCATGTTTCTTTGTATGATACGTAGGTTCACATTTTGCTATTATCTCATGTAGACAATGACGAATAATATGTTTATCTTCTTCTGATGTTGTCTTTTCTATAAAGCAGATGTGACTTTTGTCAATATGAGTGAAGTCTTCAAGCATTTGTGCTGTTTTTTCTTCATAATCATCGGGTGCATTTGATAAAATTCCATTAACAATAAGAAGTAATGATTCAGGTGGGAATTGATAAGCATCATTAATTTTCATAAAAGCAACTAAATCTTCATCAGGTATTCGTCCACCCTTATTTCCAAAAACAAAAATAACAATAGAGAAAGGATATTGTTCAAAGGCTTTCATAATTTCATGACGATTTTCATCAATTAATTTTTGGTTTGCTTCTACCAAACCAGGAATATTAGCTACTGAATAAATATATTTTCCAATAGGTGTTGACATATTTTTCCATTCGGTATGGCGAGTGACAGATCGAGCAGAAAATCTACTTTCAAATGCTTTATCATCATCTAGCAATCGATTGGCTAAGAAACTTTTTCCTACTCCACTATTTCCTAATATTATCAAACCGCATGTAGTCGCAGATGCCATTAGTAATTACTTTTTTATATCTAAAAACAAACTCATAAGAAAATCACATAAAATATTAGAATCATGTTTTTTAAGATTTTATTTATAATGATTAATTCTTAGATAAATATGAGGAAATAGCTTGTTGAACAAAGTCAGCAAGTTTTTCAAGACGAAGTCGATCATCTGATCCAGGCGTGACAATATCATCGAAATGTGAATCAATTTGTGTTGCACAACTTTGCCATAGAAGATGAAGAAATTTAAACATTCTTGGATATTGAGCCAAATTAGGAAACATATCAAAAACACAAAATCCATTAGCATAATAAGTATGACCTGAGTCAAGTACAACATTATAAACCGTCGTTGTTGAATCACTTTCAGTACAATTCAACTGATTGACTACAATAGTCGATGGTCGTCGATTCTGATCAAGTCCTTGTAACTCATCATTAATTTGTAATGCATTTACCAAGCCTCGAAGAGATGGTTCTTCATTTTCACTATCTTGTGGTTCAATTGATGACATTTTCCTATATTATTTATACAAATATTAGTTATGTATCCAAGAAATGTTTAAAATATTGAAGCTAATAACAATTCATGCATCAATTTAAAAAAAAATTGATAAACATCAAACCAATTGTTTGAATAGTCAAAGGAAAGATTTGATTAACTTACCCATCAGAAGTAAAGAAGACATGTTCTGAAGTGAAGAATGGTGGAAAATCGTTAATGCCATGTAGATGTCTACCATTTAGCTGTTCAACATCGAGAAACATTACTACATGTGATTGATTCTCAGCACCCAAAACAACATCACCAACTTGAATTTTTTCAATTGATTTGTCTGTACCATCCGCCATACGTATCAACGTTCCACCTACGAAGCACTAAATGTCATCAAAGAAAAAATGTCATTAGTATTATGTAATATAAATGTGCACAATCTCTTCTCATAAAGAAAGTCAAATACTATTCGAGTGCATTGATAGAAATATATGAATAAAAATTTAACTAATAATTCAAACTCAAATTCAATCAACTAATAAAAGAATATTTTTCTGAGGTTTCATTCTGTGTAATAAAAACATACACTCTTTTTCCCTTGTGTCACGACTTGAGGTGGTTGACTTCGAATTTGCATTAGTTGTCTCATTAACTCAGCTTGTTGTTGACTTGATGCTTGTAAAGCCGCTTGAAGCTGTCGAGCTTGTTCCTGACTTGCAGTCGCCAATTGTTCTGTGAGTCGCTGATGATCTGCGCGCATTGTTTCCATCTGCTGTTGTAGCTCTCGTTCTCGATCTTCTTGACTTAGACGCGCTTCCGCAGCTTCCTCTTGTTGTCGCTCAATAATACGACGCAAACTATCGGTCTCGTTCTTTTGATTTTCCATAAGTTCATCATAACGTTTTTGATGTTCACGAATCTCATGTTGAAATTCAATCTTATTTGCTTCAAATGTTTTAGTCATTTCTTCAATTTGTTTTTTGAGCATTTCAACTTCATCAACTTTTAAATGTATATCTTGTGCTTTAATATGTTCAGTTGGTGTTAATTCGACAATAGCATTTAATAATTGTTTTCTCAAAGCGTGTCGTTCTTGTATGTTTTCACGGTTAATATGATTTAAAAAACATACTCTTTCTGGTGCAACTTGTAATTGAATAATATCTTGCAGCATTAGCATAACTTCACCTTCATAATCTTTTGGTCGAACTGCTGGAAGACCATTAACTACAAGTAAGAGTGATTGGATATTCAATGGATATGCTTTATTAATGGCATTGAATGCAACGGCGTCTTCGTCACGCATGCGACCACCTTGTTGTCCAAATACATATATTATAAGGGAATTTGGTCGTTGAGTAAATGCATGATCGATCTCACGTTTGTTGATATTAACACGAGCCTAAAAAATAAATAAGAATATGTTATTAGAACTAGCTAGACTCGGTGCAAGCTACACGACTACTATTTTGCTGTGTACATAGGCACTCTTTATACTTGTCGGAGGTTTCAAATATTCTTATACTCCGTATAGTCCTATATTCCATGTACTTCTATACTCCCTCTATGATATATATTTTTTATGTCCTCTACACTTTCTACATTCTTTGTGCTTCCTGTAGTTTCTATCTATATATATAAAGAAGAATGTTTGTCTGTTTGTCTGTTCGCTTTTCACTTGGACACGGTATGAGCAAATGCAATGAAATTTTGCAGGAAGTATCCTTTCGTCCAGGGGAAGGTCATAGGGTGGTTTTCAACCCAAAATTTTCACTTGAGGGGGGGGGGGGGGGGGTTTGCCCCCTCCTTTTGTTGAACCTCTATTTGGGAGGAAGAATGTTTGTCTCTTCGCCATGTATTCCAAACCGGGTGG